GGGGGGTTGTATACCATGTTAGTGAGATAAATACATGTACCGATCGTGTATTAAATTGTGTCTCATAAAACAAAGGAACATAAACAATGTAATACATTGTATTACAATGTTGCAGATAAACAATAAATATACACTGTATTGATGATGATGATTAAAATCAAACCACAAGACACATACGAATAAACCCGATCTACCCCATCTGTATGTTTAAGTCATTTCTCCAAGCAGGTGGCTTAATTTATATATATGTCTCTGCTCCAAGTCAGTGACGTGTAAACATGTATATACTGGCTTTATACGTCTCTGTCCATGATCTGTCCCCGGTCCTCTAACATCCTTTTCTTTGCCATCACTACATACTATACCCACACTTCTCACTTTTCTATCTTTTACTCGTCTGCTGGATAACTGAACTTCTGGGTAGTGAAGCGGACGTAAAACCACTCAAACAAACAAACATCTCTGTCCCAATCTAATTAAAATCGGATCCTAATTCCCGTTCTTCTATGATACTCTTATGATCCTAATTCCCGTTCCTCTACGATACTCTTATTATCCTAATTCCCGTTCCTCTACGGTACTCTTATGATCCTAATTCCCGTTCTTATGATCCTAATTTCCGTTCCTCTACGGTACTCTTATGGTCCTAATTCCCGTTCCTCTACGATACCCTTATGATCCTAATTCCCGTTCCTCTGCGATTCTCTTATGATCCTAATTCCCGTTCCTCTACTATACTCTTATGATCCTAATTCCCGTTACTCTACGATACTCTTATGATCCTAACTCCGGTTCTTATGATCCTAATTCCCGTTCGTCTAAGCTACTCTTATGATCCTAATTCCCGTTCCTCTGCGATTCTCTTATGATCCTAATTCCCGTTCCTCTGCGATTCTCTTATGATCCTAATTCCCGTTCCACTACGATACTCCTATGATCCTAATTCCCGTTCCTCTACTATACTCTTATGATCCTAATTCCCGTGCCTCTACGATACTCTTATGATCCTAATCCCCGCTCCTCTACGATTATTAGGATGTGATTTCAATTAGATAGGTCTCTGTCAAAGTGTACTTATGATCCTAATTCCCGTTCCTCTGCGATTCTCTTATGATCCTAATTCCCGTTCCACTACGATACTCCTATGATCCTAATTACCGTTCCTCTACGATACTCTTATGATCATAATTCCCGTTCCTCTACGATACTCTTCTGATCCTAATTCCCGTTCCTCTACAATACTCTTATGATCCTAATTCCCGTCCCTCTACGATACTCTTATGATCCTAGTTCCCGTTCCTCTACGATACTCCTATGATCCTAATTCCCGTTCCTCTACAATACTCTTATGATCCTAATTCCCGTGCCTCTACGGTACTCTTATGATCCTAATTCCCGTTACTCTACGATACTCTTATGATCCTAACTCCCGTTCTTATGATCCTGATTCCCGTTCCTCTACGATACTCTTGTGATCCTAATTCCCGTTCCTCTACGCTACTCTTATGATCCTAACTCCCGTTCTTATGATCCTGATTCCCGTTCCTCTACGATACTCTTTTGATCCTAATTCCCGTTCCTCTACGATCCTCTTTAGATCCTAATTCCCGTTCCTCTACGATCCTCTTATGATCCTAATTCCCGTTCCACTACGATACTCCTATGATCCTAATTACCGTTCCTCTACGATACTCTTATGACCCTAATTCCCGTTCCTCTACGGTACTCTTATGATCCTAATTCCCGTTACTCTACGATACTCTTATGATCCTAATCCCCGCTCCTCTACGATTATTAGGATGTGATTTTAACTAGATAGGTCTCTGTCAAAGTGTACTTATGATCCTAATTCCCGTTCCTCTGCGATTCTCTTATGATCCTAATTCCCGTTCCTCTGCGATTCTCTTATGATCCTAATTCCCGTTCCTCTTCGATACTCTTATGATCCTAATTCCCGTCCCTCTACGATACTCTTATGATCCTAGTTCCCGTCCCTCTACGATACTCTTATGATCCTAGTTCCCGTTCCTCTACGATACTCCTATGATCCTAATTACCGTTCCTCTACAATACTCTTATGATCCTAATTCCCGTTACTCTACGATACTCTTATGATCCTAATTTCCGTTCCTCTACGGTACTCTTATGGTCCTAATTCCCGTTCCTCTACGATACCCTTATGATCCTAATTCCCGTTCCTCTTCGATACTCTTATGATCCTAATTCCCCTTCCTCTACGATACTCTTATGATCCTCACTCCCGTTCTTATGTTCCTAATTCCCGTTCCTCTACGGTACTCTTATGGTCCTAATTCCCGTTCCTCTACGATACCCTTATGATCCTAATTCCCGTTCCTCTGCGATTCTCTTATGATCCTAATTCCCGTTCCACTACGATACTCCTATGATCCTAATTCCCATTCCTCTACAATACTCTTATGATCCTAATTCCCGTGCCTCTACGGTACTCTTATGATCCTAATTCCCGTTACTCTACGATACTCTTATGATCCTAACTCCCGTTCTTATTATCCTAATTCCCGTTCCTATACGATACTCTTATGATCCTAATTCCCGTTACTCTACGATACTCTTATGATCCTAATTTCCGTTCCTCTACGATACTCTTATGATCATAATTCCCGTTCCTCTACGGTACTCTTATGGTCCTAATTCCCGTTCCTCTACGATACCCTTATGATCCTAATTCCCGTTCCTCTACGATCCTCTTTAGATCCTAATTCCCGTTCCTCTACGATTCTCTTATGATCCTAATTCCCGTTCCTCTTCGATACTCTTATGATCCTAATTCCCCTTCCTCTACGATACTCTTATGATCCTAACTCCCGTTCTTATTATCCTAATTCCCGTTCCTATACGATACTCTTATGATCCTAATTCCCGTCCCTCTACGATCCTCCTATGATCCTAATTCCCGTTCCTCTACGATGCTCTTATGATCCTAATTCCCGTTCCACTACGATACTCCTATGATCCTAATTCCCGTTCCTCTACTATACTCTTATGATCCTAATTCCCGTTCCTCTACGATTATTAGGATGTGATTTTAATTAGATAGGTCTCTGTCAAAGTGTACAGTGTCCATTGACATATGGCCATTTTATTTTTGCTCTGTCCACGGAGTCCATGTTTACAATTCCAAGACACGGACGACCAAATAGCCGTTGTGCATGCTTTTACCGGAGATCGCAACATCAAGTTTCTCAGGTGTACATTTTGAATAATAAATATTCATGAAGACAACGTCATAATGAATATTCAGCAGGCAGTGGACCGTGAAGGCCTGCGAGTCGTATTTGACATGGCGGAGCAATGATGTCGGCTGTGGTATACGTGTGGCTATTTCTTACCATTTCTTCGGGTTTCGGTGAGTAATTTTTCACATTTTAACTTCAGCTATAACCATTTTATCCTACACATCGAATTTTATTACGAAGTTTGTCGTTTATAGTACAATTTCCGAATATTCCTGGTCGGAACTCGCTTCGCGAGACGAAGTGCTGGCTTTGTTTACAAGCGGGTACGGTAAGCTAAAACTGAACATGTCCTTTTAATGAGAGGTACCGGGACGAATAGCACATGTACAGTCGATCCAAAGAGATCACGGGATTCCAAAATATCTAAGGAAATTATAGGAATCGAAAAATACTCAGAAATTTGTGTTTTGAATTCATGAAATAACGACAGACTTCATGTCACCAGTTCGACGTCAGCGATCTGACCCGTGTTAGCTCTATAGAAAAGTATAGCATGCCTTCACTCTGTAAGGTTAGGCCGCTCGTGCCAGACAAACATTCACAATAGGACATATTGAAATCAAAAGTGAATTTATACTGAGAACATTTCAAGGATAGATTTTTGGAAAATTCGAAATGTTTTAGTTCTGTTAAATTCATTTCAGGTTGAATTCACAGGGAAGCACAGGTGTAATACGTACACTAAATATACATTGTATACTAACTTAATTGGCAAGTATATTATCACAGTACAGTGCACCGTTTTATCTCTAAAGTTAATATAAACAGACCAGGTTCCATATCTCGTCGATCAATTTCTTGAAATTTTTAGTAAATTGTGTATGATTTTGGATATAGCAATTATTAGGTATGTGAAAGTATATATAATTATAGGTCTGTATATATAAAACCGATAGAAATAATAACAAGATTCCATGATCAGAATTAAGAGATTGTTGTAGACAATAATTACTCAAGCTGTTTAATTTTTAGAGTTTTGAAGTAAAGATTGAAAAAAAAGTATATTCTGTCATTAGAACACTATTTGAATTTCAATATAACTGAAACTTTAATCTAAAACATTTTGTTTTACCAATCTCTTGCAGGGTTCCATTTGGTAGTAAATCTGTACATGTAGACATTAATCTTACTTTCTTATAAGGCTCGGCTACTAACGTTAGGCACGTGCATGTGGCTGCCATGGAAGCGAACATGCATTTGCATGTTCAGCCAAAAAATGTACTTTTTGATAGATATTTATTGTGTGAGATCCATAAAAGTGATTAAATGATTGTACTGTTAACATGAATATTAAATTTGGTTGCTTAATTTTGACCATTGCCATAAAACCATAGATTTCATAAAGAATGCCGAAACAATCGGTATTGCATGTTCAGAATGTAGGGTACTGGGTGCCAATTTTATAGTCAGTAATTTTATACTAAAATTTGTAATATCAAATAACAAAACTTTTTTCTTCCTTCAGAAAATTTGACTCAAAATAGAATAAAAACATTTGAAATTGAATAAAAATTCTCAAAGTGAGGAGGCAGCACTACTAATCTTTTAGATTTCAAAATTTCCGTGGGGGGCGGGGTGTTCAAAGTGGAGACGGGAGTTGGCAAGTCACCTTTAGGATGGTTAGATAGTAAGGTTGGCATTACGATCTGGCTGCGCGCCTTTTCAGCTTTTACAATATTATTGTAGAACATATTTCGATTTTCATCACAGCATACTATGTGATGAAATCAAGACTAATGAATAAGTTCCATCTTATACATGTATTAAGTATTTGCTTTCATGAGTCATAGCTGTGATGAACGGTGATACAATTGAAAATAGATTTAATTTTGCTTTGTTCTGTCAGAGAAAAATTTCACCAAATTCAGAAATCTCTAACATTGTAACATGACATATAATTGAGAACACTGATACTGGTAGTTAGATTATTGATTAAAGTATTGATTTTATGAACTCATAAGTCTACTTGAGACGATCTGCACAGTCTCTGATGTTATTGAAGCCTAAAAATGAATTAACAGTTACCACGCAAAATCACAGCATGTAAAATATATATACCACATCATTATTTTAACTACCTTAATATAACAGGGAGTTTTCACACTCAATTTAATTTCATGCTAAGTTTGGATGTCTGATTATATTAGGTTCAATTATCCTTCTGGAGCCCATAAAGGATATGTCTTCTTCCTAAGGTTGGTAATCTTGAAACTTCATTTTCCTTCTGTAGTTTCTAGGGGTTGTTTTGCTGTGGTTGGCAGGGTTCGAAATTTACTCTTATTTACACGCAATTTGTGTCAGGATTTTGAGATTTGCGTAAGTTGTACACATGTGTGCGTGTCTAAATATAGCACAAGTACTAAGTCTCGTTTAGTCTCGGCAGTAACGAGAGTGTCGTTCGGAACATATATATGTGCAGACAGCGTCAAATGTCAAAGCTCAAACGATGGTTACGTTTTTTTTTAAAAGAAAATTGGAACTGCACTGAAGGCACTAAAAAAGTGCATACACTAACAGAACCACCGGCGAAGACTGAAGCTCAGCCTTTCGTACAAATAAAAACAGTACAGAAATGGCAGCATGACCTACATGACATAGGCTACATTGCCGTTGGATGATTCTTAAATAAAAATTTTACGTCCAAATATTTTGCTTCTTGATTTGTCAATTTGCTTCTAACTTTTGAAACCACAAGCAACAGTTTGCTTGTGGATTTAAAAATTAAATTCAATCCTTGATTGGTAAATTGGAGACAGAAGCACACAGATGATATGTTGCGGAGGTTGGTAGTTTTGAGACTTCATCATTTTGTGGACAACTCGTACACATTTTACACCTTTGTGTGCATACGCTTTACTGGTAATTTATCTGATGAAGGTGACAGTGTACATATCGTACTAGTCATCGAAACGTCTCATAGAAACTTTTATTGGTTGTGTAAAAAGAACTTTTCATAATCCATACTTACCAACCTGAAGAAAATGTTTGGAAAAATTCATCCTCCTCATTTAACATGTTGGGGACCTAACTCAACCATCCTTCTTAAGTGTCAGTATACGTAGGAGTTGATAGTCTGGAGACTGAAGCACACAGACGATATCTTGCGGAGGTTGGTAGTTTTGAGACTTTATCATCCTCATTTAACATGTTGGGGACATCTTGCAGGTCAATTGTCAGACAATTCAACCATCCTTCTGTACTGTCAGTAGGAGTTGTTTCGCTAAGGTTGGTATACATGTAGTCTGGAAACTGAAGCACACTGATGATATCTTGCGGCGGTTGGTAGTTTTGAGACTTTATCATCCTCATTTAACATGTTGGGGACATCTTGCAGGTCAATAGTCAGACAATTCAACCATCCTTCGGTAATGTCAGTAGGAGTTGATTTTCTAAAGTTGGTAGTCTGGAGACTGAAGCACACTGATGATATCGCTGAGGTTGGTAGTTTGGAGACTTTATCATCTTCATTTATCATATTGTAGGTCAATAGTCAGAACCGCTGGTGTCCGTAGAAGTTGTTTTGCTAAGCATAGCATAGGGTGGTAGTCTGAAGACTCCCCAAGGGCTTTAAGTTGACCCTTGACACTATGAAAATTCAGAACTCGGATAGAATTTTCCCTAAATTTGAGAGACGGATAGAATTTTCCCTAAATTTGAGAGACATAAAAAAAATGTCAAACAGACCGTATTTTAAACCATAGAGTCAAAGGTCACTTCCTTCACAACATGGTATTAAAAGTCAAGTGAAAACCCTGACTCAGCAATTTTTCTGTTTTTATAAATTATTTTTTGGTAAGGTTGCAAAGGTAGTCTGGAGATTGAATTATTCTGTTGTAGTTCTAGAGGACATCTTGCGAAAGACGATTGGCTGGAGACTCAGGTTTTTCTTCTGAAACATGATGATGCCTTGCTAAAGTTGGTAGTTGGTAAAATAAAAATAAATTGACATGTAGTATGTTTAAAATGAAAGGAGTGCTTTATTTCAAACTAGATAATTCCTGGGGTCAGTAATAGTTATGTAGCTTGGTTGATACAGTGCAGGTTTAGAATTTGGAGGTTTCATGCTCAAATCCTGGCGTGACTTTTTGCATTTTCTCAATTCTATTACATATTACTCGTAATTATTGGTTCTCTGACAAACCTCTGTAATACTGTGTAATACATGTGCATGAAGAGATTGGACTCGGACATTATTTCTCATCTTGGCCCAGTTGTACTCTTTCACCACTAGTGTTAGACCATAATGGACTCATCCATATCAATGCATGGTAAAGTCTTTTGAAGTTACATAGGGGTGAAAGGGTTAAAAATGGACAATTCGGACTATCAATACAAATTTTTCGTTTAATATCTGCCAGGGCAAAAAAATTCCAGGCTCTTGAATCTTGGAACCCGGAGTAGTAGATTTGGTCTGTGGGCAAGTGAAATCATGTCTGCTTGCCTAGTATTCTACAGAATATATTACTTTCTTTACAGCAAACTGTTTTCAAATCATAAAACAATGGATATGGACAAGACCATAAGCTTTCTTTCTGTTAACCCTTTCACCACTGTAGACCATAATGGACTCATCCATATAAATGCATGGTAGAGTCTAATAAAGTTACATAGGGGTGAAAGGGTTAAGGTTCCCCGTACCACTGCCAAAAACTGTAACTAAAGTGTTGGAAACTGTTTATTTCTGACATGACTTTATAGCTTTGACGAATCATTTCTGAAAACGAAACCATACATAACTAGACTTATGAGAAATAATAATGATGAAATAATGAAATAATGAAATATGATCAAAAACTGTGATCCGATTGTAAAACAATAATTTGGGCTAGACCGGGATTCGAAAAACATACCTCCCAGTTTTTGAAAGAACTGGGGTGCAGTTGGGCTATGACACTTCTGTTGACGTGGTACAAATGCATCATGATAATGTAGTTCAGTCAGTTAGACTGTTAGGATACCAATCTGATGTCCAGGGTTCGAATCCCGCTTTGGCTGTTTTTACACTCGGAACACGATTGTTGATTATATATTTATTAATTTGCATGATACATGTAGCTCAAAAAATTGTAGTTTTCTTTTCAGAAACGATTTATCAAAGCTTTAGTCTTGC